GAAAATCAAGAGGTGTGTTCTTCAAAGGCACAATTGCTTCCCCACCTTACATAAATGCTGACAGAATGCATTTTAACCACTACTGCTAAATTTTCTTTGTTGATTCAAATACAGTACCTCTTGTCAGGGGGATGCTCACAGAGCCAATCTTATGTCACAGTGCTTTCCCATGCCCAAGAAGAGAAGCTTCTTGCTCTCCACCTTTGGGGACAGGGTTGCTTGGAGTGGGACTTTAGTTTACCAGAGTACCTTTGAGTAGCTAGAACTTACTGCTCTATACATACACAGCCATTGTCCCCATGCTCTTCTCTCCTCTGGCAGGGAGTTGTAGCAGGAATTCACAAGAATACCTGTTTGCTTTCCAGAGACTCCTCCTGGCTACCGATGGTCTCACAAAGGGAAAGCAAAGCCACGATCACTCCCTTTATACCACCATCAGCAGCAACAAAATGCCTGGTATTTTTAGATTAAGTACAATTAATGTTTAAAGCTTAACATCTAAACTACATACTTGATAGGAAATTAGTGTCTCCTGACACAGAGGTGGTGGGACTGCCACACAGCTCAAGCATTTTACAGTTCTCTGGAGAGCTAAAACCAACAATCAAACCAAGAATAAACAAGCAAAAGACAGGGCTAAGCATCTCCTTTTTTTACTGTATTTTATGTGTCATTAACTCTAAAGAAATCCTCACATTGTTTGCAATATTTTTTAATAAATGTCTCTCTTTATACATTCCAAAATGCATATGGAAAACTCCAGCTACCTGATACTTAAGCAAGTGTAATAGATTTTTACATTCTTTCACATATATACTACTGCATTATGGACAATAACACTGACATTATCTTCAAATTATTTCCTTTCATCAGCTTCCTTTACCGCCTCTAAATCCTCAAATTTAAAAATTGAGGATTTGTCATAGCCCATGAGATGGTTATAATCCTGAGGATTTGGGAAAAGCGTAGGATTAACAAGCATTGACTTCGTTTTAGCATAAAATGTTGTAAACATCTTGGAGATATCTGGAATCTTTACATCCTTCTGATGGAAAACAGTTGCTTTTTCTGCCAAGATGGCATTGTAGGTAATGGCTGTATAGGTGTCCACTTCATCTTTATAATAGAGCCGGATCACGTAACCTTTTGTAAGGAGATGCAAAGTAACTGGAGTTACAAACGTAAAAATCCCAATCAACCCATAAAAGGCACCTTGGACAAGCAAACTTTCCACTCCAATACCACTTTTGAGCATGATGTAGGGCATCATGAACAGGTTGAATATGCTGGTGGAGTAAGAGAAAAACTTCACACCTATATAAAAGAAATCAAAGAAAATAAAGGTTAACACTTGTGAGCAAAATTTTCCCTACAATTACCTGTATTTTCCTACCACATAACAAGGCCTTGAACTGATGAAGTTACTGAAAACCCCTTTCCCTATTTTTTTAAGCTTATGGAGAAATCATTGAAAGCCCAATCTGTCTCATTGCCACTCTTCTGATTTGTTTGCACCGTCATGCTGGGTTTATCAAAGCTAGCTCTATTTCTGTGATGCAGTCAGCTATTAGCTGTTATGCTCACATATGAAATTCTTTTCTGTCTTCACAGGCAGAAGAACTGATTTCTAATAAAACTCGACTCCAGAAGATCTGATTTCTAATGATACTTGACTTCTTTCATGGACACATCTAATAGTGCTCATTGAAGAGATGGCAGACAGGGAATTTCTCCCCTCATCAACAACTAATCTTGACATTCAGCGTATTACAAAAAAGCCAGCTTGGCTTATACTGCCATGCATAAACCCTGTGTTACTAAATATTAGCAAGTACTCCCCATCCATTTTCCATGTCTCTTGAAAGACAGTAACCAGTGCTGTGGACTACCCACAGTCCTTAAATCACCCTGAAAACCAGGAGCCCAAGATGCTGTGACAAATAAGTATGTCAGGACACATTTCAAAGATGTGTATCAGAAAACATCCAATGGCTTTGCCTTTCACTAGGTCTTTGCAACATTCACTGGCCAAAGAAAGATTTGCAGTCTCATTAGAGATGGAGCTCTTCATCATAATACCTGCCTGCCTGGGAAAGTGTTCCAGGAACACTTCCAAGCACACAGAATGTAAGCAACAGTTATAACTCATCTTTGTTGCTTACTGGGCTGGATAAGCCACCCCAAGGGCCTCAAAAGAAGCCAAAGAAGGCTACGGGGTTACAGAGATGAACAGAGCTCCCTGCACACACAAGCAGAGAAGCAGAAACCAAGCACCACCACCACCCTGTTTTGTACATATGATCCAGATTCTGGCAAACTTGGAAAGGAGAACACTCACTTTTAATGTTTCATTTTAAAGTTACTAAATATTGTTAAAATCACAAAAACGAAAAAGGCAATATAAACCACTTTGAGTCACATACCCAACACTGTCTTTGCCAAATTTCCTTTATAAACTAATCTTCCATGTTCTGGGTGATCATGAGGGGAGGATGTGCTGAGGCTGCGAACAGCCACTCCTTGAAAAGATGCAACCTGAAAGATGAAACCAGTACAGGGCTAAAAACATCAGTATTATACCTTATATCTACCTATCCATGCATATACACACATACATGTATGCACTCAGACAAAGTTTATCCTTGCCCTGAACCCAGCATTTCAGCCTCACCACTTCAAACTAAGGATTAAAGTTAGGTTACACTCCAAAGCATGCCCAAAAGCTCCAACTAATACGCTGCCTGATTGTTTTAATAACTTACATACAAATATCCCAAATTAGCATGAAATATTTGCAACTCCATTACTGGTAACTTTGGCAGCAATCGATTTACACACAGCTTTGCAGAGAGACATTCATGGCATCTGTGCTCATCATATCTTTGATCATAAAACAATACAATGGCCTGGGTTGAACTGGGCCTTAAAGATCATCCAGGTCCAACAGCCCTGGGACACCTTCCACTATACCAGTTTGCTCCAAGCTCCATCCAGGCCAGCCTTAAGCACCTTGAGGGTTGGGGCATCCACAGCTTCTCTAGGCAACCTATTCCAGTGCCTCACCGCCTTCACAGAAAAAGATTTTTTTTCCTAATATGTTAGATTAGCTAAACTTACTCTCAGTTTTAATTCATTTCCCATTGTCCTGGCACTTCATGCCCTTGTAAAAAGACCCTTTTCCCTACAGGACTTTCCTGTAGGCTCCCTTCAGGTACTGGAAGGACACAACTAGGTCATCCCGAAGGGGTCTCTTCCCCAGGCTGAACAAGCTCAATTGCCCCAATCATTCACCGTAGGAGAGGTGCTGCCTGCCCCCAGTCATTTTGGTGCCCTCCTCTGGACTCGCCTGCGCAGGTCAGTGGGGCGGCCCCAGAGCTGGACAAAGTACTGCAGGTGCGGTTTCACCTGAGCGTACGCCCCGAGGAGCACCTCGCTTTCCTCCTCAACATCCCCTAAGGGCAAAACCGCCAATCCCAGGGCCGCCCCCCCTTCCCCGGGGGGGCGGGAACGCTCCCCCCGCTCCCACATAGTCCCCACACAGAACCTGTTGGGACTTCGCAGCGGCAGCGGCCCGGTGGCGGCAGGCGGGGTGCGCGGCGCCCCGCAGCCATGCGGAGGCGATGGGGCGGCAGGCGGCGGGGGCGGCCCGGAGCAGCAGCAGCGGGAGCATGGCGGGGCCGCGGCCGCACCGGGGACACGGCGGGCGGTGCTACTCCCACAGCCCCCGGTGCGCCGCCGCCGCGCCGCGCTTTGGTTCCGGCAGGAGGAGGCTCCGGCCGGCTCCGGCTCCGCGGCGCCCCCGTCAGCATCTCCCGCCCAGCCGCGCAATGCCAGAATCGGCTGGGCCGGAAAACACTTCTGAGGACATCGAGTCCAACCATGTCAATTAGACCATGGCATTAACCGCCACATCAAATTATCCTTTAAACACCCCCGAGATGGTGACTCCACCACCTCTCTGGGCAGTTCATTCCAAGTCTAACATTCTTTCTGTGAAGAAATTCCTCCTGATGCCCAACCTGAACCTCCCCTGACACAGCTTGAGGCCATTGCTTTGTGTCCTCTCGCCAGCTGCCCGGGCTGACCCCACCTAAGAATCTCCTTTCAGAGAGCTGTAGAGAGCCATAAGGTTTTCACTGAGCCTTCTCTTCTCCAGGCTAAATTACTCCAGCTCTCTCAGGCGCTCCTCACAAGGCTCATGCGCCAGAACCTTTACCCAGCTTCGTTACCCTCCTCTGGACAGCGTCCAGCACCTCGATGCTGTGCATTAATTGAGAGGCCCAGAACTTAACACAGGACTCGAGGTGCGGCCTCATCAGCGCTGAGCGCATCACTGCCCTGTTTCTGCTGGCCACACCATTCTGCACACAAGCCAAGACGCCACTGGCCTTCCTGGCCAGCCGGGCACGCGTTCGCTCGTGTTCGGCTGCCGTCGGCCGACACCGCCAAACCCTGACATGGCGGGTCTGCAGATGACCCCGGGAACTACGCGCCCCAGCATGCACCGCTCGGCGCGCACAGCATGCCGGGAGCACGGGCGCCGCACGGGCTGGGCGCGGGGGAGCGGAAGCGGCCCGTGACCCGGGCGGAAGCGCTCGGAGGCAGCTGGGCCGACACCGCGGCCCTGCGAGCGGGGCGGAGGGAGCGGCGCCCACGGGTGAGGGGCGGCCGCGGGAGCGAGACCCCGCCGGGGACACCGCGGGGCCGGGGCGCCCCGTCGGGCGGGGAGCGGGCGGCCCCGGCAGCGGCCCCGCGGCGGGCAGCGGGCCTCGCCCCGCGCCCGGCGCGGGGGGGGGGGCAGAACGGGGGCGGGTGGAGGGGCCGGAGCGGCGCCGGAGCGGCGCCGGGGTGCGCGGGGCGCGGTGCCAGGCCGGGGTTCTCCCACCGAGGCGGTGGCCAAAGGCGCGTTCCTCCCCCAGAACGCTCTCTGTGGAACCCCGGCGCCGCCGGACAAGGGGCTCTGGGGCAGTGCCGGGTTTGAGCATCGCTCCCGAACTCCTGCCGTAAGCGACGCTCGCCCCTTCCCTACGCCAGGCCGTAGGGAGAGGGGAAAAGTTCAGGCCGAAAGAATTTCGGATGCGCCCCCAGGGGTTGTTTTGCCAAGGTGAGACGCGCTGGTTAAAGTGATTCGGCTGTCTGGTCGGCGGATGTAAGCAAAGAAAAGGGTGATACCCCTACTTGTATAGACAGAAACGAGCTTTTGAATGCCCTGTGTTCCTCAGAGGGAGGTTCTGCTTTAATACAAGGTAACCTGAGCATTGGTAAGTTATTGAGGGCTTCACATTTGTGTGTGAAAAGGTGCTGGTGCTGCTGGCAGTTCGCTTTGACAGTCAATTTGATCTTCCACCAGTTAACTTTTATGAATTATTTCTAATTGCGTTTGGTAAGTTAAGCTTTGCATTCTGAGGAGACCTAGATAGTCACAGGCCGTTTGTTTACTTGGCTTCGATGGTTTTTGGAAGCAAACCAGAAAAACATAGATAAACAGGCACGTCAGAGGTCTTTAGGGTAAGAACCACTTTGTGCACTTATTTCTGAGTAATCCCCTACATGCTCCCGATTTTCTCCCTTTGCTCTAGTAAGGGCCAAAATAATTGTTGGGGGAGGGATCATGTTCAGTTAACTGAAGAGTTACTTTGAACGGCAGTAGGTGTGAATTAGTTTTCCTGTAGTACATTGGCCACATCTTTGCACAGGTGGCACACACCTTATGCCTTGAGATCAGCCTTGTAATGAGCTTAAGTTATATCAGTAAAATGTTTACGTCAGGAAAGTTTTTGCTAATGCTTTCACTTGGAACGTTGAGATAATTTTTAGACAGTTCTAGCACTACAGCATTTATTTTTTCCTTGTTATGTCAGAGAAAAGCCATTTGAGATCTTCTCTTTTTTTTTTCCCCTGTGCCAGAGTGGGCAATGAACAGATTTAGATAGTTTCACATAGTCTTAATGTGAAGAATTTTAATATTGTTAGTTGTTCTAATATTGTTATTGAGAGACAAATGAGTATCACACTCAAGGATTCTCAGCCTCAAGTGGTGTACTGTGTTTTTACAATTCTCCTGTATGTTACAATAAATCCTCAAGTTATGCCATGAAGGTATGGGGTTTGTCAGATTATTTTAAGGAACTTCAATGTATTTTGACAAGTCCCGCAGCACCTAGAAAGGCTCAGGATTTAGTTGGCTTTGTTGTGGGGTAGTTTGCATAACAGCAGTTTTTGGTGAATGCCTATAACAAAAGGGCAGAAATCCATGCCCTGTAAAATTTTTCCTCTTTCCCCCCAATGGCAAGAGCTGTACGGTACAGCGTGGAAGTTTCTTTGGAAGAAAATAGTGACACTCCCTTGCCCATGTTTTTGAGGTTTTTTTTGCTTGAAGCTTTCTGGGGAATTACTGAAAAGGAAAGTTTCTTTAAACAGGAAGATAAATCTTAAGATCTTTTGTTGTCTGTACATGCAATCCTACCCCATCTCCTGTTTATCTCAGCTAGCCTTCAGGTGCAGTATGCCTTCCTCTCACACTCCTGTGTGTCCCAGGAAATTTGAATTTTGGAGTCTGAGAGTACTGGAGTAGTGAATCAGCTGATTTGGAAATCCTGCTCTCCCAGTTTCTCCTCATGTTTTTTCTAAATATGCTTCAATCCCTTAACTATTATTACCTGAATTATTTTTTGATGTGTGCTGAGCAGTGAATGCTAAACTGAAGAGCAGTGTATTTAAACAAGTTATTATACAGGATAGAGTAGAATTTAGGATTGAACAGTTGTAACATGCAGCAGCCTTTGGTAATTGATAAACTCTTACTGATATATCAATGACCCAAAAAATTGTCACATTTGGCTTTTAAACAAGCATAGGAGTTGGTGAAGGACAATTTGCCATGTTTTCCAGAAATGGATAGTGTAGGATAGAAATGTCAGCAGCTGAAGTGTACAAAAGTCATGTGTCTGTCGTGCAGCTAATGAGTTGGAAGCTATTTGAATTTCCTTAAACCAGAAGCTGAGTTTTTAAAGGATTTTCCTGTGGGATCAAAGAATCTGAATGCTTGAAATGTTTGCATAGATTCAATGTTCTTGTGCAAATGAGAACAGAGCAGTGAAGGTTGGAAGCTGTGCAGTGTTCCAGCGTGTTCAGCCTATGTCCTTCAGGTCTGTCCCACTCAATGGCTTACAAGGCATACAAAGAAATGATATTCTGGAAATTCTGGCAAGCTTGGGAGGCCAGCATGCAGCTTTGGGAGTGAGCTGGGATGATTGTGAACATCCCACTTTCAGTTTTGTTCTTGCATTTGGTGGTCAAGAGAAGCAGGAAGAAGATTAGAGTAAACAGACTAAAGTTCCTATTTCTTCTTAGGGGTGTAAGAAGATGTTGAGGTAGGGAAACAAGAACACTTGCCTTGTGTGGCTTAATTGCCATGGTTTAGGGGTTTGTGATATTTTACACTATTTTACCTTGTAGATGAAAATATTCTGGCAGCTTGTGGCAATTTTCAGTTCTCTAATATCCAGACAATTCTGTGTTTTCTGCAGCAGGAAGTAATTTTTAGACTGGTTGGAAAGTTTCTGTGCCAAATACACTGGGTTTAGTTGTTGTATGTGCTCCTTCTGATTAAAAAGTGGCATATCCCTTTTATGTAAACTTTCTCTTAATAAATGCAGGTTTTTGCCTTTTTTTTTTTTTTAAGGAGGCAAAGCAGGAGAACAGTAATATCTAATATATGTGGTTTTTTGACATTTAAGTCAGGGAGCTGAGCTACATTGTGGTAATGCCACATAAGCTTCTTGAAGGGCAAATGGAATTGTGAACATACTTCAACATAAATTAGTAGTTCTTTGCAGGAGTCTGAAATAGACAAGTCAATATATGTAAAAAGTGCACATTAACAAAACTTGTATTGTTCTTCTCCTGACTGCTGCATTGGTGTAGCCTTGTTGAAGTCAAACAGGGCAACTATAAAATGTGGGAAAGTAATTAAAATGTAGGTAGTTACCAAGCATGTTCAGAAATCTGTCTCTTTATTCCCATTGTCTTGTCATTTATGCTGCTTTCATTATACAGAAGGAAAATATAGTGATATGTTTTGTAATAAACAGTACACTGGAAATACAGTGAGAGAAAATAATTTCTTAGAAGACAACATACAAGGTTGCTTGACTTTCCTGGATCTATTATTTAAAACTTAAGGCCATGCCATTGTCAATTAAAAAAAAAGGTACAGAAAATTTCCTTCCATGTTCTTTTTGTACTCCCTGTATGCTGAAGTGAGAATTTGTGGGAGGTATTTCTATATTCTTTTGCTTTATTTTCTATGTGCACTTTTTTCTGCCTTTGAAAGTGTTCTGATCTTCATACAATATCATGACAGACTGAGCACTTCTTTATCCAGAAGAGCAAACATTACTGGTTATTTAGGTTTTTCAGAGTTCCTGAGTTTCTTGTTTTTCTTTTCTCCTCATTTGTTGCATTGGCTCTCTGATTTTTCAGAGAGCTGTTGGCTATTTTATCAGGAATAAATTTGTACTGCTAATGATGTTAATGATTTTTTTTAATGACACATCATTGCATCAGAATGGAAATTGAGTGAAACTCAGTGTGTCCCTTGCTAACATGTCAGATGCATCATATATTGGAAATATTATGTCTTTTTCTTGAAAGCAGGTTGGCTTTTCTTCGTCTTTTACTTTTGGCAGTTGAATGTTTGGAGTTTTCTGTATCCAGAACCAAACTTGGATTCTGGAACAGCGCTATAAATTGTACTTTTATTTTTGCTCATTTTCATTAGTTGAACTTAAACTGAGATATTATGTTGGCATCATTTTTCTGCCGATGTTTATCCTTTTAATGAATTTTTATATTTATCTCCATCCCAGTTTTGCTAAGCTGAATAAGGAGGATTAATTTTTCTTTTATAAACAGGCTTTTTAGTCATATCAGTAGGTTCCCTCTGTAGTTCTTCTAATTCAAACTTCTTTTACTTGAAAAAAGGAATTCAGAATTACGTGTGGTATTCCAGACAAGCTGTTGCTCATCTGCAACATTGCTCATATTCCCTATCTTTATTGAAAAGGAATCCTCAATGTGCATTTGCCTCTTTGTGCGTCACCCTTTTATTTTTCTTTTGCTCCCACAGACCTCCATCGGTTTGTAGTTTACCACAGAAAGACTATAGTCCCAAATAACATGCCCTGACTACATGAAAGAAGACTGTATTGGTCCCTTCATGCAGGAGTCTTGATTTCATATGACTTAATTTCATGTGGCTTCTTCAGGACTGGTCACTTGTCTGTGTTACATTTTGTCCCACTTTTGTGGCAATGCTTTCCACTTCTGTCTCATCCAAATCTGCCTATTCTTTTCTGGCAGCATTGCTTTAAAAAAATCAACATATTTCTTTGGGGGAACTAGTAGTTCTTTCCTATGTTTGCAACACCATACTGTGCTCTTGTATTCTTGTAGAAAGATTCTTTCTCATTTTAAGATTACCTCTCATCACATTTATTTAACCCCAGATGATATATGAAGATTGCATCTTGTTTGAGTTTCCTTTTTCCCAAAGAAAATGACTGATTAATTTTTTAGAAACTAGATTAGTTCAGCATGCCCTAGAACTATGAAGGCTTACTGCATTTTTATCCTGCTTTAGTACCATTGAATTCAGCCCACTGAGCCTGATAATTTTTTCTTCTTTGTTAATTACTGTGGTTTTTCCTCTCTAATCATATGATAGCGCATTTGATTTATTAAAATGCTCTTTGTGTATTTTTGCAACATCTGCTGTTTTTGTGTAGACTTTTTCAGTTCTCCATTTTCAATCTTTCAATGTATGTTTCCTCAACTTAGGCTTTTACCTTGCAAGGTGCTAATATGTCTGCATTTCCATTAACTAGCCTTTACTCCTGTGTTTAGTGGCATTATTTGTATTGTAAACCAAGGCATATTTTATCATCACCAACACTTCCAAAGAATGGTTTCACTTCCGTGTTGGTTTTCTTTTTTTTTTCCAAGTATTATTATTTATAAATCAAGGATGGTTTCACTACTCGTTTGCAATGTAGGAAATGGCTTTGTGGCTAGAAAAAAATGTAGTACAAGTGATCGTCTTTTGCAAAGTAGAAGTAGCAATGTGAGGTATTTCTTCAGTTCCTGAGCAACAGATACTCTCCAATAAGATGACTGATTTCCATTTGCAAAAAAATGTTGAAATAGGGTGCAAGATCCCATCAGTTTTGGGCCCTAGCTGTCCCAGCACCCAAATATAAGTTCCTTAGATGAGTTCCTAGAATTAGCTAAAGTGATGAGGGCATTTAACACACCATGTTAGGGAATTTCTATTATATCATACACAAATTAACTCTCAAAGAACATTCTTAAGTGTGCCTTATATTCAGGAACTTTTCCCATGCCAAGAGTACAGGTTAAAATGTTGCTTATATTAGTGGTAAAGAAAATATTTTTTAGAGATAGTTCTGTAAAGTCAGGATAACTTTCAAAGAAAGCAGCAGTGTAAGTGGAGGATTATTTTTGCTCATTTCCCTTCAGACAACTAAAAACTATTGGTTATGCGTGTGTAGTTTCATTAGGTGAGCATAACAAAGTGCCTTCTTATGAAAGCATGAGGAGACATTTGCACTACTTCATATTTGTAAAAAGACAGATAGAATAAAGCAGCATCAAAGTGACATTTTGAAAAAAGACAGATGGAATAAACCAGCATCAAAGTGCTGGGCAGAAGTGAAGTGTTCAACAATAGCAAAGAGGTGTCTGTAGTACTTCTTTCAAATTGTGCAGCTTCCTCAGCTTGCTTACATTTTTTTAATAAATGTTTACCAGAAACATAGGAGGGAGCAAATGTGGGATGTGGTCTCTATGCTGATCTCTTTACTGCCCTCAACCCTGCATATCAGCTGGGAGACCATCTGGAATCACTTGTGCTATTTTCCTAGATGTGTGGACATACAGCAGTGTCATTGATTTGTACTGGGCTAATGTTTGCGGAGTGGCTGTTGTTATGAAAGGAATTTTAGGACAGCAGGTGGGTGGGTAGAATTTCTCTTCCAAAGTTTTCTTTTAGACAGAAGAGATGCAGCTTGGGGTAAAGAAATAGAAGTTGTATGTGAAAATACCAGATTTGTTTTGCAAATAAGTACTTCCATTTCTCTAACTCTTTAATTTCCTTTCCATAGAGAAAAACACATGCAGCAAGCTGGATATCAGTATACCAGCTATGGGTGCTCCTGGTTAACTGTACCTACAATACATGTCTGAAGTAGATTATCTAGGTGATATTGATGGTGATATTGGGAACTGTCAATCTTCTGTGAAGGACAGGTTGAAGGCCAGGTATTTAGTGCATACTGATTAGACTGATCCCTGAGCCTTCTCTCCTCTGGCCTAAACAACCCTAGTTCTCTCAGCCTGTCCTTGTGTGACAAGTGCTTCAATCCCTCAGTCATCTTTGTGACCCTTTGCAGGACTCACTTCAGTCTGTCATACTGACCCCAGCACTCCAGATGTGTCCCAGCAGTGCCGAGTGGAGGGGCAGGATCACCTGCCTCAGCCTGCTGGGAATGCTCTTAAATAAAGTCCAGGGTGCTGTTGGCACCTGCAAGGGCACACTGCTGGCTCATGCCCAGCTTGTCCACCAGCACCCTCAGGGCCATTTGTGCAAAGCTGCTTTCCAGCAGGTCGGCCTCCACATAGTACTGGAGGTGCTGAGGTGCAGGGTTTGCATTTCCCATGGGTGAACTTCTTAGGTTTCCTGTTGTCAAAACATACTGCTCATCAACACTGCGTGTTGTCTGTCGTCATGTTCTCTTTGGAAGAGTGTTTATGGTAACATAAAGACTAGTAAGTAAAGGGGAATTTAAAAATTGTGCTGCTGACTCAAAATATTGCCACTTGTGTTTTTTCAGACGCTCCTATTGCAAAATCTGCAGTTGAAAAGAAACATTTTTTTATAAGAAGAGAATGGGTAAGTTCACAACTTCAAGAGTGTTTCTTGGTTTTGTATTATTTGAAGCATTTTCTCACGTCAGTAGAGGAGGTGGATTCTAATTCTTTAAATGTTGATCTTGTCACTTCTTGTAGCCTCAAACTTCCTATAGATGCTTTAAACAACTTCCCATAGATGTTTTGTAGGAGAATTTTCTCAAATGACTGTTTACTGGAAGATTTGTTCAGAGTGCATCTGTTCTAACAAAAAATTTCACTTGCCTAACATGCATAGTCCTGAAAATGTACATGCTAAAATAGGAATGCCTCTAGGCTTTTATAGCACTAAATGTTTATATAGTGGCCAAGAAAATTTCACTATGTACTTATTTTAAAATAATTCTTTGTTTCTTAACTAAAGTCAGCCTGTTGAATTCTGGCTCAGAGATCATAATACAGGCTGATTTCTGATAAATTACATTGTGTGTGAAATGACTACATTTCTGAAACTGTTGTTTCTGCCTTAACAAATGACTGGTTAATGAAACAGGATTGGATGGATTCTGGTTTTGTCTATACTTTCTCTGACTGTGTTATAGCATGTTTGGCACTTGTAGAACTTTATTAAACTTGGTAATAGCTACATAATGCAATTTTAACTCCAAGTTCACAAAGCAACTTGACTGGGGGAATGTTTTATTTGCTACACAGGCAACAGTAATTCAGCTTTTAAAAGTAGCACTGTCAGGATACAATAAAAGAAGGCACAAAAAGGGAAGAGGGATAAAGCCTTCAGAAGAAACAAAGTAGAGAGCAGGTATTCAGCAAAACAGAAGGGATAAGGGAAGCTGGAAACACTGTCCAACTGCTGTGGGGAGAATTTTTCAAATCTCCCTAGGTTTAGTGCTTTGGCACTTTCCATGCTTTCTGCCAAAGGCCACAGCACTGGTATGCACTGATGCTGTATGTTTCTGGGTCTGGTTGGGCAGTCAGGGAGAATGAGTCTTACTTCATATCATTTCTTCAGTGCAGGAATATTGACTGCTTTTGTTCTTATCAGTGCTTCAGAAGGCATTTTTTCCTTGCTGTCTGTATTTTTCAGTATCAAATATGTGTTTGGTTAATTTTTAGCAAGTATTAGTATGATAAACATGACTATAGATTTAATGGAGGGAAGCAGTAGCATGTTCAATTGACTTGAGAATGTCTAAAGGAAAATTTCATTCCTATGTAGATTTTTAAAAATCATGTCAGAATTTGATGATGGAGGGATGTTAATTAAAAAATTCCAAGTTTTGCAAAATTACTTTAAAACAGATTGCTAGTTACTTCAGAAAAATAATCTTCAAACATGTAAAATGCTTCTTTCTCATTTCTGGTTGTATTGGGCTCTTCAGTCTGCAAACATAGTCATAGAAAAAACTGCAACTTGCATTTTTAGTAATGTGAATCAGTATATTGTGTTCTGAAACCATTGTCTTTTTTTCCATTACAGATGGAGAAGAGAAGACATACGGTGGGTGTGAGGGCCCAGATGCTATGTATGTGAAGTTAATATCCTCTGATGGCCATGAGTTCATTGTAAAAAGAGAGCATGCATTAACATCAGGAACAATAAAAGCTATGTTGAGTGGACCAGGTAGGTACAGAAGACTTAGTACCTTTACCTTCTTTGTTTTCACTTTTGGACAGTTTGAATTTTTATCATGCTGTAAGTGAAAGTTAGAAAAAATGCTAACTTTTCCACATCCTGTCTAGTTTCCAGCAGAACAGTCCATTTCTGTTGGGGTATTGTGGTACCAGACTTAAAATTGACTCTGCTATTTGGACAGTTAGGAGTCTTACTCTGTCCTGCATTGCTACTAGTTTCCCATGGTATGACAACTTGAGGGTATTATATGAAACATGGAGCTGCCAAGTTCAGAATGAATGAAAGCGGGTAGTTCTTTATTTCCACATCCTTAGCAGAACTTCTGATATTCCATATGGAGTTAATTTTCTTCATAGCAGGTCACATGGTTCTGTGCTTTATATTTGTGACTAAAACAGAGCCAACAACACACCTGCTTTAGCTGTTACTGAAAGATACACACTGTTCAAGCCTCCTCTGTTTCTCACTCTTTCCCCACTCAATAACCAGACAGGAGGGTGTGCAAGAGGCTGGGAGGGAACACAGCCAACATGACCTGAGCAAACTACTGAAGGAGATATTATTCCATATGTCCTGCTCCAAAGTACAAAAGGGAGAGGTGTAAAAAAGGGAAGTGAGCCATCTTTTGCTTGAGAGCTGTCTGGTCATCAGTCTGCCCATGGGAGGTGGTGATAACCATTGCATCACTTGTTTTGTTTCCTTTCTCTTCTCTCAGCCTACAAGTTTTCTTACTTTTACTGTTCCTTTCCTCTTCCCTTGTCCACCCACAGCAGGGGTAAATGAGCAAGAGGCTGTGTGGTGCTTTGCTGCCTACTGGGGTTAAGGCCACATGTTAACTGCATCCTATGACAAAGAGTTCCTGAACTTAATGGTGAAAGTTAGCTTGAGGTGAGGGGAGATAAACTTACAGGAGGGAAGGACCTCACGTGTTGCTGAATATATGAGACTATATCTGGTTTAAGAAGTGTCTGAACTAATTTTTGAAGACCAAAAGGGTGGGGGAGAGAACAGGGAGAAATTAACACAAGTGCTTTCTCTCTTCTATACTTTCATCCTGTATGTTTTCCTTTGGCCACTTCGGTGGTGGGGCAGTAGGCTACATGAAGCTTGGAGCTGAATATGGTCTTTCTTATGTTCTCATTTAGATTCTGGTGAGACTGGAAAGACCTATTGGTTTAATATATTTTTTAATTACTTAGTAATACTTGGGCAAACTGAGCAATTAAAATTCTCAGTGTCATTTTAATAGTTGCATTTGAAAATATGTAATAAGTGTTTTGTGTCCATGTCAGCCTCCCAGACATCTAAGAGGAAGAATAGTTACAAGACTTGCTCTGAATTCATTCAGTGTGAAGGAATAAAAGACAAAGTCGCCTGCTTAGAGGGCTAGAAACTGATTCTATAGGTCTCAGCAGTCCAGAATATTTTATATAAGACTAACAAGACAAATGGGTCACAAGGAAAAGTACTGTTGCTGTCTAGTTCAGTAGGTCATAGTTTCACTGATGTGTAAGTCTTTTGTTTCAGTGCTGTAGCTTGGCCAATATGCTAACATTTCTTCTTTTGCTTCCAATTGTTCCTGTACTAAAATTCAAGCCATATTGGCTTCAGTGCATGCAGATATTTCTACACAAATCTGTGTAGACATTAGTAAATAGCTCTGCTTTGTAGCTAGAAGGAGATGCCCACAGAAATAGTGGGAACTAAGCATTGCTAGTCTCCCATAAACATGGAGTTAATGTTAGTATTTTTTTATTGCCTTCCAGTTTAATGAGTTGAAAGTCCAAGGATGTGAGAGGATGAGAGACAAAAATAATAGAAATCCTGTGTGATTTCTATTATAGGATCCTAACTTTTGTATCATCCAGGTTTCATGGTTATAGGCACTATAGAAAGCAAATTTCAAATGTACTTGTGTTTTGAGATTTGAATTCTGAATAAATTCTTTTGTATCTAATAGGGATAAAGTTGCACTGCATGTAAACTTCCCTCCAGTGCAACTAGAATTTCCCTGTCCCTGCTGTCTATCTGTTTTCGCTGTTTATCAAGTTAATGTATCTTTGAGGTCTCAACTCTCTTGTCAAATCTACCTGAAACTGAGGAATTCAAAGCTACTGGGTCATAGAAGAGACTACTGATATACACATATATGTGTGCAGATATGAAACATCTAGAAGCCTTTTTTTTTCCCTTTGATAAGACAGCCAGAAATTGGGATTGATGCCTTTTAGAGCTTAGCATACAGCTAAATACCTATCAGCTGTATTGGAGTAAATCTAAATTTCTGGTGTAGTTGTTCAGAATAATGTTGATAGGCTGCAGCCTAAATAAACATTTCATAATGCTGGGTGTCTTAATATTCCTGAGGGCTCTGAATGTGGCACATGCTGCTTTACAATGGAGAACCTAATACCTGGGAAGATGAGACTTAGGCAGGTCTATTTAGAATGCATTGTATTAATATGGTAAGTTGTTTCATTTTGCAGTGAATTGAGATTTTGACTTCTGGTTTGGTGTTCTTGTGTGTTGTTTTTTTCTTTCTACAGGTCAGTTTGCAGAAAATGAAACAAATGAGGTCAATTTTAGAGAGATCCCATCCCATGTCCTATCCAAAGTATGCATGTATTTCACCTACAAGGTCCGCTATACTAACAGCTCTACGGAGATTCCTGAATTCCCAATTGCACCTGAAATTGCACTGGAACTTCTGATGGCTGCAAACTTCTTAGATTGTTAAATAAAATAAATTATAATAAAAAATGTAAAACTTTTTTCAGTATTTAATACATGTAGTTCAGTTAGTAACTTTTTTCAGATAGCATGTTGCGTGTGTGCTGTTGAGAACTGTAAAGTTCACTGCAGAGGCAATTGCCTTCAGTTCTTTTGCATATAGCAATCATTCAGTTGGAGTTTGTTTTGCTGCTTACACAAATAAGGACCTTTTCACAAACTGAGACAAATAAACAAATATGCCAATTAGTAGATGGCTATGCCTTATCCTTTAGGTGTGGTAGAACTTTCTTTTAATACAATGGCTGTAGCAAATACTGGAGTTTAGTCTAATACTCTCTAAAAGATAATTATAGTTACATTTGAGTAGCTGTTAAAGGTTTCTAGCTTTCTCTTATTTTTAAAGTTTCTAAACATCTGAACTTAATCTCCTTTGTAAGATAGCTGTCCTGTAGCATAGTTACACTAACTAGATTAGAAGTGCCCTCTTTATATACTATCAGTGATATTCCATTTAGGTTTAAAGTGGAGTATGTAGGAGAATGCTTAAAGCTTTTAATTTAAGTCATAGTTTAGACATGTGCAAAGGTGTACTTGATAACATTTTGCTTCTATAACCTCAATTTACCCCATTAGTAATTTCAAATATTCCAGTTACTTGTCTGTACAGTAAGACTGTGATCCTACTGACAGTGACTTTTAAGGGGCAAAGTAACTCTTAAAATCTGTGTATATTATCTTCTATATAACATATGTGCTTTTTCTTAATATACTGTCACTTGACTTGATAAGGATTTTATATAGCTTCAGTTATGGTTTATTTCCATTGTTCTGATTGTTTATGTAAAGTCTGTATTTAATCTCTAGAGTAGTAGAGTCATTTAGTAGTCATTTAAATTTTGTAACATAACAACTGAAAAAATAGAAGTTGTCCTACCTTTTACCTCTTCCTCAACCTCTCCCTTGTAACCCATAGCAAAAGACCCTGAAATGTGGAGGTCTTTTATATTTGAAGGAAAGGACATTAAGCAGATGTTTTAGGAGCTGTTTTATAAATTTCATAGGTATTTCCAGTGTTTTTAAAAATGTTTTAGGGGAAAAAGATTGGCAAGCCACTGACATAATACTAGAGTGGAATATGTTATGTCTTGGTAGATCCTGCTGACAGTGGCCTGTAGTATCAGTTCTTTGTTCAAAACAAGTTTCCATAAAGAAAACAAACAACTTAAGACAAAAACTTGCTTATTGTTCAGCTGCAGCCTGAAGAACCCTTCTGCTAAAATCATCTGTAAATGAGAATGCAACCAATGCATCATGAGAAATGATGCAAGAACAATGTAATTAGAATTTCCATCAGCTGCCACTGCTTCAGCTTTGTTTTGATCAAGAAGTGATTGTGGTCTATCATGGAAAAATCCCATCAACTGATGGTGGAACCTCTTTCTAGATGTTTTAACTCACAGTTAATTTAGAGGGCTGAAACTCTCCTCTAAACCTGTTTGTCAACATGAATGCAACTTGGAAGAGATTTTCCTGGGTGAAAACTAGTAGCTTAGATAGACTATGCAGTCTGCCCATGGAGGAGGTCAGTTATGACAAGTGAAATTTTATTCTGGGCTTAAACAATGCTGACGTTTGTCAGTGTGTTGGTAGATTAGCTGACATTTATTCACGTCACATACTTTAGCACAATTTAATGTGTTTAATGTGGGGATGTTTGTGACTAGATTGGCTTTGCACGGTAAAGCTGAAGTGCATTGTAGGGTGATTGTCTGAAATTCCATGTGTAAGCACTCTGGTCAGTGCTGTTAGTAACTCATTTTCAAGAGCACTAGAATGATAAACCAGAGATACCCTGTTATGCTGCTTTTGTTAGAGCCGCTAGGAATACCCTAAAAGGTCAAGGAATACCAACATGGATATTTTAGTCACAACTACATATCAGTCTGAGTGAGTCTTAAGTTCACTAGCCATTTTTAACAGTCTTGAGGCTAATGACTTCAGGCTAAACATTATTTCGTTTTAAACTAAGGCAAAAAGGATGCCATTTTTTAAAACAGTGGGCTTTTTCTTCTTTTCTTTTTTCTCTTCCCCTTTTTAAGCATTCTAGAACAATTTCCTTGATTTTGTTAAAATACATTTGCATTTGAAGATTCTGTACTTTAGCAGTAAGGTAAAATAGCTGGTTTAGCTCTGAATAATAATTTTGTTGGTTTTCTTTAAGCTTAATGTATTATACAGTAGCTTTGAACACTCAGGAATTGCAGTAGTGTCCTAGAGTGCACTATTTGCAAAACCACCGGCTGTTAAAATGAACCAGATTTCTAAGGGGGAGGGGGGCAGGGAGAATTAGTGCAATTTCCATGGTAGTTAAATGGGTATGCTATTATCAGACAATTGGAAACTTACCACGCTTAACCCCTGAGTTCTAAATAAATTTCAAAGTTGAAAATTTTTAAACCTGTGTTTCTGTTGATTTATGACATCTTAGAGGAAGTGTTCATATGCAGAATCATCATTTTCCTGGCTCTACTGTATGGTGAGCAAAATGCTAATGTCATTAGTATTTGGATAATAGGTTGTGAAGCTGCATGTGAAAAATAAAAGGTGATGAGTTTTTTCATTGTTCTGAAGAGTTTCACAGAGTTGAAGTGTTAAGATATCTTTGTGCTGCTCTGAATTACAAGCATCCAGAACTCTCAGCACCAAGTACTAAAAAGGCATGGTATTCCTGAACAGGCTTGAAGAGGATACTTTCAAGGATACTTCAAGGATATCCTGCTGGGGATATTTTGAAATCTTCAACTGCCCTGGGTTTCCACATTGTGGTACTTCTTTTGTTTGAAAGATAGCCCTGCATTTGAGGTTCAGATTTTAAGCTGAACTGCTGATTTAGTCAGAAAAACTCTCAGATTCTTTGTAAACAATGAGAAGAGTCATGCTGGGTTTGTCATCATTTGAGTGCGTATAAGCTGCTGAAGAAGTCTCTGATGGTCTCCAACATGAAATAGTCTGTGCATCTAGAATGATCAGAACTCCCTCCCACAAGATAGGAAATTCCTGTTTGGTTTTGAACTCGAAGAAAGGAGGCTTCACCATCAGGATTCTCTGTGCCATTATATTCAACAGATGTTGAACACGGTATCCTAAAGGCATTTCTCAATTAATGGTAGGAAGTTTGGAAAATCAGTTGCTTCTGTCTGTGTTTTATTACTGTCTATTTTATTTCACAGGCCTAAATTGCAGTAGTGACTGTTTGGTTTTTTATCCCTTTCTTCTTTTTACTTTGCCCATTGAAAGGGTGCTCCCGAAACTTGCCTAAATCTGTTGGTTTGTGTGATGAAGTGGACAAGGAATGTTGTGGGGCAGGAAAGTTCACTTCTCAGTCCATGTTTTGTATTCCTAGTTTATTTTGCCAGGTCTCAAATATTGCAATGTAATTTAAGGGAGTAGTAGTTACTGCAGAGTAAACAAAAGCACAAGGAGAAGTAGCACTGTTCCTACCTAAAAACTAAGGCTGGAAGCTGTGGTATAAACTTAATTTCAACACCTGAGTAAGACAAAAAGAGCAGGAGTAAGAGAAAAATAGCAAGAACTTATTAAAGACTGAGTGGATTTGGAAAATAAACTATGATGCTTGTTTTTAAAGACAGACTAAAGCTTTAGGAAAAAAAAGGCTTTAGGGATTTTTTGCCATAGAAACGAGTTCAACTTTTGAAGGCTTTTGACAAATAATGAACTGCATTGGAGTTGAATTTGTTTTTAAATGTAGCTTATTAGATGGCAATTTTATGGGAAGATAACCAATGCTGTGAACTGCAGGTGCAGCTCAGTGTTTGGATGAGCTAGCAAAGAGGACAAAGTAGATTCTGTGATTATTATTAGTCACCTGTGAAACTTGAGTGTCATCACTAAGGCAGCACAGAGAAAAGAGGGAGTTTTTATCGAGTTTTAACAAGTGTTATGTGTCATGAAATAAAGCTTTGCATATGCTGCATCTGGAATGTAGGTTGTGCAATTTCTCCTGTATGGGAGAAAGGTCACTGAGATTTAAAAAAAAACCCTACAAAACAACAACCAAAAAATCTGTCTCTCTGTCATTACCATGTTACTGTTTTATGTTTACAGAATACAGGATTTTCTTCTCATGCTAAATGGGAGGAGATCAGAATTGCGAGATCATGATTGTTCTTTGACAAATGGAGTACTTCAACATTTTATCCTTTTGAACTTTTGTCATCAGTTTTCAAGATGTGAGTCATGTAATGTTTTGTTGTCTCACATATTGAGTGTAGAATTGGAAAGTTAAATTAAAAGTGCCCCTTAAATATGTACTGCCTTTTAGATCAGAGAAAGTAACCACATGAGAGCTTCTAAATAAATTAAAATTTACAGTTTAGTGATAAAGTTGCTAGTTTTCAGGATAGTTTTGTGGGATTAGTTTGTGAATACACGAATGGATTAATGCAATTCTGTATTTATTTGTAGTTAATTTCTTCAACCAGAAGTTACTTTGAAGTTAAAAAAACAAATAATTTTAATTCCATTGATTCATGTTGAAAACTGCCTTTTCAGGTGAGAATTCATAGCTAAGGCTTTTCTTCCCATGGAAAAAAATACTACTGGTATCCTATTTACACTAATAAAAATGTATCTACCAAATCACCACTGCACAAAACTATAAATAATACATAATCTGTATCTTATGTTGCTTTGAATTCTTATTACTCTGTCTAGCAAAACAATGGGATGCCTGTTATGCAGATTAAAAAGCTGTCAATTTTAGCTGGTATCACCAAGTTTAAAAAATATCTAGAATTTGAATGCATTTGGCACAAAGGATTTATTTTCTCTTTCTATACAGGGAAAAGCTTCCCGCATTACCATACTAAGCTGACATATAATGTTTTTCAGAAGTGACACTCCATTTGAGTCAGAATTATTTGTAGTTTGCTACAAATGAAACATGAAAATGATATATCAATATTTAACATTTAAGCTGCTTTCACAGTTGTCATAGATATTTGACTTGTAATAAACAACTGTGACTTAAGGAGAGAACATCTGAAAATACTCAGCTGAAATAGTCAACTGCTCACCCATTCTGTTTTTATATCATGGCTCTGGTTCATGGTAGTTGTATCCCATATGAAGTCTTGTCTTTCCCGAGGGACATTAAATAAACTGACAGGCTGGACCAGTGTCACCTTGGTGTACAGGCCTGAGAAATTAAATTCTTCAGGCTCTGTAAGTAGTGTGCAGGGTCCAGTAAGGACAGTATGCAGTCTGATGTACACAGTTTCTTCTCAGCCCTTGGGAGCTGTGGTGGTTTATCACACATCTGTATCTGTAGAGGTTACCCAAGATGCCTCTTCAGTAGTTTTACCTTGCTTCTAGGCTGGCAAAACCAAACAGCTCCTTCATTTTGAAAATTCTTTATCTTCTTTGTTGGTTATGAAGTCAGACTCACTTCTGTGCATTCCTAATAATAACACCACGAACAAGGTATTGATGTAACTCTTGGAGTCACCTGAGGAGCCTCCAGATCACAGGTTTTGGAGACAAAATAAAATTACTAAATTATAATTAGGTTCAAATCTTGGGGGTATTATCACTGAGCAGCTCCCGAACACTTGGATTTGACAGACACAGTAATCAACCTGCTCACATGGGCTATGGATGCTTTTGATGTGGAAGAACTTTTAATAATTACACAACATTACACTTTTAAATGCATTCATCTACCTAATTAAGTATATGTCCTACTCAGTCCTTATTAAATTTTTACAGCTTTGTGTCTTTATAAGTTTTTATCTTTACATTTAAAGATAAAAAGAGCATTTAAAAGAGTTAGAGGACTCCTGCTGCCTAAAAACATGGTTTGACAATTACTACAAGTTGGTAATTACAGCACATGGTGCCAAACAATAGGGCAAGAGGCAATGGGCAGAAACTGATGCACAGAAAGTTCCACCTGAATATGAGGAAGAACTTCTTTACAGGTGACTGAGCACTGGAACAGGCTGCCTGGAGAGGTTGTGGAGCCTCCCTCACTGGGGAGGATATTCAAGAACCTCCTGGATGTAACCCTGAGCATTGTGCTCTGGGATGCCCCTGCTTCAGCAGGGAGGTTGGACCAGGTGACCCACTGTGGTCCCTTCCAACCTGACTCATTCTGTGATTCTGCATATTACTAAAGCAGACAATTCCACCCCTTTCCCTAGCCCCATGTCCTCCTTCTTGCACTGCAGTAATTAAAACTGTAATTATAACTGTATCTCCACATAATATGAAATATTACAAATATCAGAAAATTCTTTTCTGATCTGATGGAAATCACATTGGTAGTTTAGTCTTCCTGGGGATAAGATGAAAGGCCCAGATCACCCAGTGGCTTCAAAATGGTCAAATCCTAAACAGGAGAAGAAATGGAGGTATATATCATCTTAGAATAACATTACCCTCTCCTACCCTTGTAGCAGATTAGGAATAAGGTGAGACTTTTCTTTTCTTCAGCATCTTTTCATCCCTTTGAAAGCCCTGGGATGGAAATGACATTTTGCCTGTTACTATTAAGAACTAAGATGAAAATTAAATACACTGTTGATGAAAAACCTACATAATCCCTAAGGAATAAATCAACAATAAAATCTCAACAACTCAAAGTTATCTTGCAATTTTAACTTAGTTTTAATAGGCTATTTTCATTTTTAGCTATATGTGCAATTTATTACTTTTATATTCTTGATATAATATTGCATTTCTTTGATTCTGCATCTTTAGTTGATGGTTTCTGCAGATGCACCAAGCTTGTTTATAAGATGATCTTCATTCCACAGAGCTTTTAAACTCAGTGTCCTTCCTAAATTGGCAGGTAGGAGCGGAAGAAGCAGTTGGCACAATTCCTCTGAGGGGCAGGGAGTCCTCCATGCTCAGGAGATGCAGTCTCCTGACACTGCAGATTACAGGTGTGATGCCACTCCAGTAATGAGGGGAGTTACATGAATGTACAATTGACTTCTGTGCAAGGAGACAAGATGAAAAGCTAAAAAGTGCAGCGGGCACAGGCAAAAGAAATTGAGCTCTTGTGTCATTTTAGCACCTGGAATCATAATAGTAGTAACAGTTCAGTGTGTAGAAAAATTATACAGAAAAAAAAAGGGTGAGAACAGAGGAAAAAATGTTTGGTGACGTTTGAAAACATGGACAAGATGGGAATAGAATGTAAAATTATAGGGATCATTATCAAGAATTATATTTTACCTTTGTGAAACTGTCTTGGTATATCAATTATCTAATAAATGCAGTTTGAACATTACTTGCATTTTTCCTGTAAGTATAAGGTTTTGCAAACTCTGAAGAAAAGTGGATTTTTAGGTCAACTTCAAGAATATTTACCAAAAAAAAAATTAGTAGGAGGTACAATTTCATTATTTGCTCCATATGTTTTCGATATGCGA